ACTTCTCTCTCTAGCTGCAATAGAGTCCCTCTGACTACTTCCTTGAGCTGAGAAAGTATCTCAACAGCCCGGATTATAATAGATGACTCAACAACCTCGATTTCAATAGGCTCCGCTGATTTTGATTGAAAAAGAACGTCCACTTCCAGCAGAAGATCTGACAATGCTTCATGGAGGTCCATAAACTTGAACAGCCTCTCTGGCAATAAACGACTAGTACTTATGGCATCCACAAAGTCAAATAACTGAACTGCAGCATCTCTAACTATTTCCATAAAACAGAAATCAACTACAACAGTTTCAAGACCTGCAACGATTTGCTCAGAGAGTTGCTTCTCTTTGGGAAAGAAAATTCGAACACAAAACTTGGCTGCACGTATCCACTGTTTGATCTTCAGCTCCAACACTTGCCACTCCAACCTCCAGAGATCTTCAATGCTCAATTCCTCAATGCCAAGACGTTGAAAACACACGTCCACTATATCCTTCCTTACTCCCCTGTAAACCTGAAGACACTGAACAGAGTGCATCCTTTCAGCAACACTCTGGAGATCATTGATTTTTTCTTCAGATGGCACAATATCATAGTCTAAATAATCATCTTCAACTAATTCATAGTTTATTGAACTCGAACAAGTTGAATAGCTCAGACTGAGGTTGCCAGTCCTGGTCAAAATGTTGACAAACTCCTCCTCAAGCCAGGCCATGGCTTTCTCAAGCACACTGTTGGCCTTGCTTTTGTCAGCATCAGACACAGTCGTCAATTCCAACCAGCAGTGGATCTCATCAATGGCTCGCATGTACTGATTTATGTCATTGTGATCTTCTCCATCAAACCTCACTTGTCCTCTCGCAACGCTTACATCCCATTGCAAAATTATCTTCACAGCTGACTCGTATGAAGCCACGACATTGTCCGGAGTTTCCATTGTAAGAGCAGTTTCAACTACAGTTTTGTGTTCTAATTCTTCAAATTATAAGAACTCAGAGAACTGGCAATGTATATATAAGTTATAATTTGTGATCTTCTCTTATTGGTAAAGGGAAAAGAATAGAGACAATACTATGGAGTGTGCAAGAAAGATTTTAGGATAGAGACAACACTACGGAGTGTGATCTTCTCTTATTTAGACTATGATTATTTATCATAGTCTAAATAATCATCTTCAACTAATTGGTCAGCCAAGAATATAGGAACTAAATCAGCTCCATTTACAAGTTACAAAGCAATATGTTAATTTTCTGGTTCTGCCAATTCCAATGTCATATATACATACAAGCAGCTGCATCAGATATCATAAATCAGCAGAATAGCTATTGCAATGCTGGGCGAGCAAAATATAAATTTAGGTGAAATTAAACCTAAATTTAGTACACCCAACAAACAAGTTACACACCTAGTACAACAAAAGGGCATCACTGTAACAAAGATAGAGAAATATATAAAACATATTGCATAATAGAATAGGTATTGCTAACTGAAGAGTTTCTTAACAATCTAATAGATATTGCTAATGTATGATGTTTTTACAGTTACAAAATGAATTCAACCTAGAATTTTGTTATGCAAATGGTTTCTAATGGAGAATCTGGACCCTCTCTTGTGCCATTTCATCTTTCGTTGCGTCCTATGCTATTACATCGCTTATGCAACAACTCATATTACTTAAGCAACAATTACATTACATCGCTTATGCAACAACTTTTTCATACATCTGTTGCACTACAATGTAGTGCATTGCATTAGTGATCTACACGCAACATAAGACCAAGGCACAGTATTCCCTTTACATGAGGGGATCCGAAATTTTCTAATGGAACAAGACCAAGGCACAGTATTCCCTCTGCATGGGGGGATCTGGATTTTTCTAATGGAACAAGACTTGGGAGGTACTAGTGAAAGGAGACTGTTAGACTATATATAGAGACCTCTATAGCAATGTAACAACCCTTTTAAAAAAAAAAAAAAAAAAAAAAAATTGGCATGACCTTCCCTAAAAAGGGGCCTACAACCACCTCTTCAAATAAAAAAAAAAAAAAAAAACGCAATGGCCCTTCCTGGCCTCTCAAGACATATTCAACCTGTCCCAACACACACAATATAAATCATACATTCTAGCATCCCATTCATCCGTTCATTATACCTCAACATGGTTCATTTCATGGTGGAACATCTACATACCATTTAATCCAAATTATTATAATTATAGTCCCAAAATATATGGTTAAGATCTAAAGTACATGTCTTAGAACAATAGGGGGCGGGGTCATGCTATGTTGAAAAAAAATATTCAACATACACAATGAGATGTTATGAAATGTGATGCATGTTGATGTCACTTTCCATTTTCAACGTCCAAATTCATCACTTCACAAACTGTTAATGTAACCCCCTTTGGTACCCCCTCAGCGCCGAGGGAAGGATTGGCTACTGTCCTTGACCGTTGGTACCTTCGCAGCGTCATTTGGGGCCCAGATAGCTCAATCACGCTAGGGCAATCTCCCTAGTTCCCTTTAGGTTACATTAACCTACCGGCCCTCTGGTGACTCCGCGGCGACCGGGTTTTTCATGAAAACATTTCAATAAAAATTTCTTCCCAAAAATTCCCCTTTTTCTTTTCAAAACACTTGTTCCCAGTTCTTCCCAATGTTATGCATGAGTGCTTCATGCCATGAGATTCATCGTTCCACAACAAGTTCACAATTTAATCTCACATTACACCATACAAGAGTTTTCTAAGAATACATAACATGCTTCCATACAATAATTTTAGCAAGTTAACAATATTATCGGCGAGGGAAATTAATACATAGAACATGCTTTCCACATATAACATAATTTAAACACATACCCACATATTCAAATTACAAAGTTTAATCATCCTAAACAAAATCAACCCAATCTAGCATATCAAGCAACACAATAACCATAGGAAATTTACATTTAAGCATGCATCTCATATAAACCAACTTGCACACATTTTCATGAACTTCAACATGTCAAATAATTCATTTTAGAGGTAATCAACACAAATAAGCATGTTAGGCAACAATTAACAAGAGAAATTCACAAAGGAGCAAGAGATTTCGTGAATTAGAAACCCTTACCTTGATTTGGTGCAAAACCCTCAAATGGGTCAAAAATTTTGAATTTCAAAGGAAGCACCAAATCTGAAATTGTTAGTACTCACGCGTAAAACTCGTCGTGCTCTCCGTTTCGCCTCAAACAACACTCAAAATCACCAAGAAATGAGAATGGAATCAAGCTTCAAAGTTTGCTTCACAAAAAGAAAAGAAAAAAGAAGAGAAATGAGAGAGAGGAAGAAGTTAGGGGAGTGAGAGAGAAAAATGAAGGAGCAAAGGTGGTCTCTAGACCACTTAAACAATGGTCCCACCACCAACCTTTGACTTTTCCTTTTTTCCTTTACTTTTATTTTTCACCACCTATATACAAGTAATACACCACCAAGTAAATGCCACATAAATCTCATAAAATAAAATATACGAAATGCAAGTGGACTCAACTAAAATACCTGTACGCGAAACGTGAAAAGACCGAAATACCCTTGCGGTGACAAAATTTCTGAAAAATGCTGAAAATCAGAAACATCACAAGCAAGATCCACCAGCATATATTTTGAATGAATAAAATTGTACAGAAGTACCACTTGGGGTTCAGAAGACAGATACATACATACATACATATATATATATGTAAAGAACAACAATTATAGGTCATACATCATTTTTTTGATCAATCAATCAATGGAACATTTCTGATTTCAAATGAGTCGAAAATTTCCCAAGCTATGATATCAAAATTGAGTGTGTTTTTATAGCCAAATGAATTTTTCCTGGATTGTATTTAATAATTTCCACCTACCTCTGGCTATTCATTAATTTTTTTTTACCAGCTATTTCATTGGTGTAGCTAAGTAGAGAATATGGAAAGCAAATATATTCGTTTTCTAATCCATCACACCTCAGTAAAAGTAAATACAAAATAAAACCATTAACTGATTAACATAATCTTACCTGTCTCTCTGTAAAAACAAAAATCAAGATGCCAAAAACCAAAACCCTAATGGGCCACTTTCCTAATTGTGTACATCTAAGCCATTGCAGTCAGAGTATGTAACCCTAATGCAAGATCGAGGCGATGTCTCGAATAAGACTTGAACTCTCGATCATCATGGGTCAAAAGCCTTTGTTTAGGAATGACTGGGCTGTTTTTTAAGTTGTAGATTGAGCGGTCCAGCCTAAGTGGGCTGGGCTTTTAGGGAGGGGTTTCAAGACTTTTTTCCAGGGTTAAAATAAAATAAAATAAAAAAACAAATTCAGAATTTACAGAATTCGATAATTTTTTGAAAATTAAAAAATAATTTGATAGTATTTTCTAAATAAAAAAAAAAAACCGAATTATATATATATATATATGTGGGACTACGTCACCTCAGTGACTATATTTAATCTCCTCTCAATGTGTGAAACTGTGAATGCAATGCAGAGAGCTCACACATGAAACTCACTCCTACAGGTGGACACATAATGGAACTTACTCGAACCAAGGCAGAAACGGTTCTATGTCCAAAAAGAATGAGACTAGTTGTTGTACTTATACATCCAAGTCCTAGTAGCAATTAATTTAAGAAATTACTCTTGACATTAGTTAGTAGTCAAGTGTAAGATACCGATCAATTCGGTTCAATTTTTCTACTGTTCAGTTCCGATTTTAGTTTCAAAAATAAAAAAATGTTAGTTTACGGTTCAATTTTGGTTTCAAGACTATTAGGACTACATCCAAACGAAACATAAAATTTTTCTACTGTTCAGTTTCGATTTTAGTTTCAAAAATGAAAAATGTTAGCTTAGGGTTCAATTTTGGTTTCAAGCTTATTAGGACTACATTCAAACCTAACATATGATAAGGCTAAACAATCTACACACCCACGTGCTTGAGCAGATGTTTTTGTACTCTTATTATGATAATTTGTGTGCTTTCAATATTATATGTAATATTAGTTATACTTATCAACAGAAATACGACTCAATATTTTTTCAATGCTATATATTTTAATATTTTTATTTTTTGTGACCCAGTGATATTTTTTTTACCTCTTAAAGTGGATAGTGAGAATTAAGCCTGCAAAAAAGTGAAGAAGGTGGGTAAGTTTTTTGCTTTAGAAAAAAAATAAATAAATAAATAAAAATTAAAATAAAATAAAAATTTGAATTGAGAATTTTAATAGGATGGCAGAATATAGACCATAAGGGATGTAACCTACATATTCATGCGGCACACTCCCATATTCCCATGAAACTCAATCTTGTCAAAGAGATGCTCGTAGTCCGTGTAGACTCCCAAGGTCCACGTGGCATACCCCACACAAGTTGAGCTCGTGAACTATCGTATGTCTCGATAACAACGCCTGAACAAGGGTGCTTGAAGTTTTCATGAGCATCATGGATCAGTTGTAGAGGGCCATGGCTTACCATTGCCAAACTCATTGGCCTAGTCAAGGAGATGGTGAAATCACATGACTGGATCACACGGAGAGAATAACACTGATAATCAAATTAATTATTCTCACCTACTGCAGTTTTTAAAATGATGTGCTTTTAATGCAACAGTGCTCTTCTCGAGTTAAATGACCGAAGTAACCCTATCAGACCTGATCCAATTGTGAGGTCTCGATGGTTTCCCCCACAATTGGATCAACACTGTTCAATGGTCTCCCTCACTGAACCAAGCTTCTTTCTTCGTTTCCCAGAAGTGTTCACACAGATCCAATTGTGAGGTCTCAATGCTTGAAAATTTTGATTGATTTGACTTGATTCTTGCCTTTTTTTGTTGATTTAGTTCTTGATGGTTGAAGTTATTGATGAATTAGGTTTTGATGTATTTAGTGATTTTCTGGTTTCTTGTGTAATTAATTGCGTGTTAGCTTTTGGCTTTATTTTATTGTTTGTATATTATTAGTGGATTGTATGATAGAATTATTGCATCACTTGTGAGAATTGCTCTTCAACCCTCTGTTTTTTTCTTGGAATTGTCTCTTTCCCTACTCTGATAGAAGATTAGAGTGAATTCAATAATGTGAGACAACTCAATTCCTTGCAAGTTAGTTTCTCCCACCAAATTCCACCACTCATAAACATTAGACCTGTGCTTATAATTGAATACCTTTCTAGATTCCGAATGCTGTTTTTGCTTATAAAGTGGTCATTTTTTTTGGTTGTTCCCTTTAGGAAGTTATATCGAACTTGATGCTATCATATAATAGCTTTCTGGTTTCTAGTAGGTTTGTGGATATTTTCGGCACTGTCAATTAGAAGAAGACATCAATTTTTTTCTGTATGATTACTTCAATTTTTGCTTGTTTTTTTCAATTTCAGTAGTGTTTTTGAAAGCTGAAACCTTGTTACGTTTGCTTTAGCATTGTTTAGTGTATCAAATTTTGATATTTGCAAGTGCTCTGTTATTATTCTACATTTTCTTGCTTAATTGATAAGACCTCTGTTAGGTTTTTTTTATTGATGTCCTTCATATGCTGCAACTCATATCCACGTGCAGTCATATACCTTCATTCTTATTTTTGTTGTTATATATTCTAGTATAATTATTATTTTAAAAAAATAGCATTGTGTGACGAACTTAAAAAAAAATGCAGGCAAACAGAGTTCTTAAAGATTCCTCACTGTGCTGGATCAAAATCATTCATTCGTTTCTTCGAGGAACAAGTAAGCTGCTATTTAAGTTAATTTTGTTCTCTAGGTGGTTTTAACTCATTTGTAAATATGGATTGCTCTTCTCATACAAATAATTAGCTCAGAAAATGGCATTACAATGTCAAATAGATAGTGCCTTTTTCTAAGTCAATTGAGAGATCACCACTAATTTTAAATATTCTCCATTCATTTCCTAATCGATACCCTGCGTCTTATTTGCTTGTTATTCTTCACTGATGCGCTTCAAATTTTGGATAATTTTTATCTGCATTTAAAATTTTGATTAATCTCATTTTGTTCATTTATATTAGGGATATTTCAGGAAAATAAGGATCACTCCAATAATTATACATGGTGAAATGATAGTTTTGAGTTAAGAATGACTTATTCAAGGAAACTTTGAATTTACGAGAGTGTTTTAATGTATAATTTAGAAATGGTAAAAGAAAATGAGAGTTTTAAGTAAAAAAATGACCTTATTCAAGGTTGCATTGAAGTCAAGAGAGTGTTTTAATTTGTAACGTTAGAAACTTTGAATGAAAACCAGAGTTTTGACTTAAAAATGACTTTATTCAAGGTACCTTGGAAATCACAAGAGTGTTTTAATGTATAAAGTTCGAAACTTTGAATGGAAATGAGAGTTTTGAGTAAAAAGTGACCTCCTTCTAGGTATTTTTTAAGTCACAACTATGAAGTTGTACAAAGTTACTAGTTAAGCTAATCTGAAACTAAATTAGTTGTTGCATTAAACAATAAATTGCTGCCAAAACAATTCAGAAACATAAGATACAAACATTAATTTCATAAAATTTACAATAAGAAATTTGAATAAGAAACAAAAACAAGGACAGAGAAAAGAATATTATACTACACATACATCATACATGAGTAGAAGACTTTTTTTTTTTAAAAGACAAAAGAAAAAAGGTGGAAGAAAAAGAAGAAGAAAAGAAAAATGAGAAGACTTTGAATGGAAGGACGATTAGGATTTGATTGAAGAGGAGGAATGCAATTATTTTTTTTTTTATGTTGAAGAGAATCAAAGAAATGTGAAGAAGTTGTACACAAAACAAGGCATGGATTATTAACTAGTGAGGGAGGGCATTTTGTAAAATTTCACAAAATCACATCTATAAAAGTAATAAAAAATTAATAATAATGTACAAAAGACATTTACAAACTCTTCATGCCATATCTACATAACGAGAGAATATTGGGTACCCCAAGGGTACCCCGTCAGCTTGTTCCACCTGGTATCCCAATCCAATAAAAACATGACAATTGGCTAACTTTCCACATCAGCTTCATACTCAACATGCCACTAACGGAACGTCGTTAACTTCGTTAAAAAAAAAAATTATGAAACCTGTCTTCTTCGGCATATAACTCACCGAGCCGGATCCAACCGGATCCGAGAGCGCGGGGCCGACCGGTGTGTGAATAACCGCTGCGATCTTCGCCGGAGCGGAGGCGAAACCGAGCTGCAGACGGAAATCCTGCACCACGACGCTCAGTAAACCGACCATAATTTGGCGAAGGCGTCGCCGTACACGCCACCTTGGCTGAATCCAAAGGCGTGTACAAGGATCTTGAGGTGTGAGTAGTGCGTGGAACAGACGACGGAGGATTGACGCCTTTCCATCGCCGATTTACCGGCAGAGACTGGCCCGTCGTGAACGTCTTCTAACACCTTCGCTGCTTTTTTCAGCGCGTCGGTGAAACTCGAGCCTTGGCCTGCCACAAGTGCGTCGGCGATTCGACGCGCCGATGACAGGCCGTTCACTGTCATTCTTTTCAGTGGCAACAACCTCTTGGAGTTCGCCGAGAAAGCCACAATGGAGAGACGATCGGCGGATGAAAGAGACGACACGATCAATCGCATCGCGTGTTTCATCATCTGTAATTTCTATACCGTCACGCTTCGCTCACATCTAATACTATCACCAAATCGACCGGTGCTCGACGCGCCATCTTCTCTGGCGCCGGCGGCGCTCTGACCTTCAAAACTATGGCGTATGTCTCGTAACTCCGCGTTACAGATTCAAGCAATTCTCTCATCTGGGTCTCTCTCAATCGCTCCAAAATCTTTAATTCTTGTGGGTCTTTAGCTCAGACTCGTTGGTGAGCCAACTCGGCGAGATCATAAGGGACATTTCTGGGCTACCCGGAGAACGAGCTTTGTGCTCGGCGATGGCTGCTGGTTGGTGGGGCCGGCGATGGTGAAGATGATTCCTCAATCCGGTTAACGCTAATTTTTTTTTTAACAAAGTTGACGCCGTCTCCGTTAATGGCATGCTGAGTACGAAGCTGAGGTGGAAAGGTAGCCAGTTGTCATGTTTTTATTGGATTGGGGTACCAGGAGGACAAGCTGACGAGGTACCCTTGGGGTACCCAATATTCTCCCCTACATAACATAAAAACAAACAAACCAACAAAAAGTTTATGGCTTGTCTTCATCTGTGCTCCATGTTTTATTATGTAAACATATCCACCAGGACAGAAGCAAGAAGCATCGTTGGATCCGCGGTACTTGAGACGGTAATCTTCCCTTCATTTGCATCAATGGTACTAGAATGCACTCCTTCAGTCTTTTTCAGCACTCTTTTGACATTTCCCACACATCCAACGCATGCGCACTGGATGTTCAGTTTCACAGCAAAACTCTTTTCCGCCACCATAGATGAGTAGTAACTTGATGATCACTGAAATTAATTAATTGGACAAAGATCAACAGAAATGATCTAACTGCTGCTACTACTAGTACCACAAAACTGAGGCTATGGGATTATTTATAAAGAATCCATGTCTTGGCGTGCAAGAATGTCATTTTAAAACGCTACTCTTTAGCTTTGTTGTTAAGTCGAATAGTAATGGTCAACTTCCAAGGCTGTCAAGCATTTTCCACGTGGACAAGGCCTGATTTTTACGTAAACAATTTTTTAAAAATCATAATAGTGATTGGTCATCTAAAAGCTCAAGTACTTTGAACATAATTTTATGGTTGGCCTTTTCTCTTTTTCAATACTAAAGAGGAAAGACGGTGATCGGTGCAGCAGTTGTACGTGTGGGGTTCTCCCACTGCCACTGGTGTGAAAGAATAAAAGGAAAAGAAAGTTCAGCATAGTTGGATTGACACTTGACCGTAGCTATCCTTCAATTTTATTTTTTATCTTCTGTAGTGGTTAAGGTAAAATTATTTTGTCACTGCTAACATGCTCCCGAACCTCCGCTCCTAGTTTTGACCATCATAGTTTTTGCTAGTGATATTTGTTCTAAATTTAGTTTATCTCTACAGTTCTAATAATATTAATATTGTGTGTTGGCTGTGTTTGGCGGCATAGATTTGGAGCTTTGGAATTAAAATTGGTGAAATTGAAGAACATTTTGGGTTTTTCTTTTTTTTTTTTCAATTCCAAAGCTCCAAACCCATGCCTGTGAAATATAATCTAACTGTTTGTTTTTTTTTTTTTTTTTTTTTTTTCATATCATGATTCAAAATATACATAATATTATTTAAATTTTTTATTTAATTTTTTCATTTCTATTTTAATTGTTTTTTTTTTCATATCATTTCTGAGGTGTTATCGACGAGTAGGGTCGTTGACTTGTTGCCACCTTCTTTGCTTGTTGCCGCTACTAGGGTGTGTATATAGACAGTAGTGGGGCATCGGTGACAAAGACTCAAATCGGTGTTGTCATCTCTAATCGATAATTTTCGGTTCATATTAAGACGAGCAGGGTCGTTGACTTGTCGACACCTTCTTTGCTTGCTGCCACTACTAAGGTGTGTGTATAGACAGTAGTCGGACGGCGGAGAGAATAACTGGAGTGAGCGCGGTCACTGAGAAGATGCCTTTCACCCCCATCAATGCCACTCACCCCACCAAGAAATCCCCAATCTACATATACGTCCTCTACCTCGTCGAGCTTATCGCGCGGTCGCGCCTCTACCATGCTCATCGTCCACAACACCAGTAAATTCGGCCACCCCGCTCTCAACCAGACCCAAGCCTAGTCCTACCACATATCAGCGCCTACAAGCAGCACGTTAGATGTAATATATATTATAATTTAGGTATATAATATATATTATAGATAGGTACTTTAGTAATTTATTATAACAATATAAGGGCATTTAAGTAAATTAGATAGGTCCGTTAGTACATTTAGCGGTCCGTCACAAGGAAGGGAGGTCCGTGTTAGTTAGTTTCATTTTTAGGGGAGGTCCCTGTAATTATCACAATCATAGGGGAGATCTATGTAAATTACCCAAACTTAAAAGGCCATTGAACAGCAATAACTGAAATGAAGCTTCTTCGTTCTGCATCCTGGTACAACACCTAGGAGCCTAAGGGTTCGTTTGGCATGCGTTTTGTTTTTGGTTAAAACAGAAACAATGTTTTTGTTGTAAGAGTGTTTTGGAAAAAATTCTAAAACACGTTTGGGGACTATATTTTGTTGTGGAAATGGGGGAAACAAAAACATGTTTGGTCTCACAAATATATATATATATATATATATATATATATATATATATATATATTTTAATTTTTGCACTAAACTATTAGGTAACAGCAGGCGATGGAAGCTTGCGAACAGCGAACCCGAACTGGAACAGCAGGTGATGGAAACTGAAAGATATGGGTTTTGATTTTTTGAACAATCTGAAATGATATGCCCATATGGGTTTTGATATAGGTAATAGGTTTTGATTCTTGCAAACAGATATGGGTTTTGAACTTCTAAAATATATGGGTTTTGAACTTCTGATTCTTGTATATTTTGTAGTTTGCAATTGCAGAGAGAGAGAGAGAGGAGACAGAGAGGGCAAGTTCATATCTGAGAATGAGAGAGAGAGAGAGAGAGGAGACAGAGAGGGCAAGTTCAGATCTGAGAACGAGAATAGAGATGGAGGTATAGGTAATAATAGGTGCAGACAGATAGATAAACTGAAATAAATGGGTTTTGAACTTCTGATTCTTGTAGATTTTGTAGCTTGCACTTGCAAACACAGAGAGAGGGTAAGATCAGAGTAGAGAACGAGAATAGAGATGGAGGCGATTGGAATTGATTTGCGATCGCCCAAAATCGCCAAGAATAGCTGCGCCAAACAAAACCCTAGAAAATGACATTTTGCCTTTTATACGTGTTATACTTGCTACAGTTTAATGAAATAATTGTTTCCTCCACTACAGTAATTTGTAGCCCAAACAGTGTCGAAACATAAAAAAACACCAAAATGGTATTTCATATTTTGGGCCTATTTTTGAAATTATTTTGGAACTATTTAAAACACAACAAGCCCAGCCAAACATATTTTGGGCTTCAAAAGGACTACTGTAGCAGGCCAAAAATAAAACAAAACAGATGCCAAACAGGCCCTAATAATAATAAATAAATAAATAAATAAAAATTAGGGAATAAACAACACTTGGAGCCTAATAAGAGAGTGATTTTTCTATATAAAAAAAAAAAAAAAAAAATTCACAAAATCACATATATAATAATAATAATAAAATTTCATTGACAATTTTTTTTTTTTTTTTAATAGCAAAGTCATTGACATTGTTTATGCCATCTATTCATACACAAAAAAAAATAATAAAAAAAAATAAAAATAAATTAATAATAATAATAATAAAATTGTTCATCTGTGCTCTATGATGATATATTTATTATGTTAGCAGATCTACCAGGACAGATCCAAGAATCATTGTTGGATCCCCCAAAAGAAAACCGATTATGGCTTTGAGGAACTTCATTGGCTTCCTACCAATCTCACTTTCTCTTCTACCATCAACCCTATTGGAATTAACTACAACTTGTGGATTCATCTTCTTTAATGCCATGGAATCAATGTTATCAATCAACCCCTGCCTCCACGCTTCACGCACCATTTCAGTCACACAGTAGACATGGAAGTGACACCTTTTGCGAGCAGAAATGTAAGACCAGCCCGAAATATTAACGCCCTTCTTGCTGCCCTGAAGATCTTTCTTGTTGCACCACTTGCATTTCGATAACACCTCTTCATGAAGCTCAAAATCATAGCCATCCATGCATATTTTACTTTTGAGGTTGCTGCAACAAGGGTGCAAGTCCAGTGACTTGCCCTCGGCTTCGCTGTGGTAAGCAAAGCCGCATATGTCCTTCCCACAAGCGTCGCAGACTTTGTCTGACAGTTTATCAAAGAATTTGAAGGTGCATTCTTTGAAAATTTCATGGGAAATTTCGTGTTTGGAGATCAAGCATTCCTTACACTCCTTATGAAGTTCATAGTCACAGGACTCACATCTGAATCTATGCCCATAACCCATCTCCTTGCATCCACTGCAGATGAAAGGTTTATTATACTTTTTCAGCTCAAGGTCATGCTTGTGGGATATTGAGTGACCAATTTTATTTTCCTCTGTAATACTCATGTCTGGAGAATCATCATCATTGTTGCCGTCGTTGTCATCATCATCACGTGCTTTCCTACAAAAAAAAAAAAAAAAAAAAAGTTGGTGATTGGTTTGGATCACAAAATAAGTACAATTTTGAAGAAGGAATGAGCTTTTGAAGATGAAATTAGGCCTAAAACACTAGCCAAACATTTATGTAATGTATGTTTTAAGTGGGTTCCATGTTTATAATTTAAAACAATCTAAGGAGATAAAAACGTTTATGTATGTTTGAATTATTGGCCAGAGTAGCATTGTTCTTTGACGATATATCTAATTAGTGAAAAGATCAAACAAAGAATTAAAATTTCTTACAATGTGGATCCTTGATCAGTAATTTGGGACGATTGCTGCAGTAGTTGTGGTGGGTTGTGATGAACTCCTTGAACTGGTTTTTAGGTACAATTTGCATGGTCTTGGAGTTGAATTGCTCCTGCAAAACCTCTACATTCTTGAAATACTTTCTAAAAGCCGCTAAGAGGGCGTGCGGATTGACGGTACCAGAGATGGTGACCTTCCCTTCATCTGCATCAATGTTGCTTGAATGCACTCCGTCAGCCTTTTTGAGCACTTTCTTGACATTTCCCAAGCACCCCTCGCAGCCGCACTGGATGTTCAGTTTCAGAGCAAAACTCTTTTCGGCAACCTTAGATGGAGCTAGCTAGGACTATATATATAGGAGTTTATCACTGAAATTAAATTGGACTAAGCTGGCCAACACAAATGATCTATCAATCGCTCTTACAATCGAATAAGTACTTGATCAAATGAGGGCACATACAAGTATGTGGTGTGTGTGTGATTTGTATTTATAATGTTCAGTCTCTACTGTCTACATTAAAGTGGAAGATTTCCAAGAAGCTGCCAAGCATTTTCCGCGTAGACAACGCGTGGTGATTTTCTTACCTTAGTTGTTAAAGAAAATGAAACTTCCACTAGTGTGAACACTAGTGTGAACGAAGAAAATGAAAAGAAAGGAAACTTCAAAAGTAATTTATTTATTTATTTATTTATTTTCTTGTGCCTGATTCTCTGCTGTAACTATTATTTGCCCTAATGGTATTGTAATTTGTCAATACATTTTAATGTGTTGAAAAATTATGCAGCGCATTGTTGTAACAAACAGCGGATTCGAATTCATTGGTTTCAATTGTTGTTGCTGAGTTATCTTCTAATTATACTTGAAATTCTCAAGGTTGAAGAATAGAGTTGAGGAGATTAAGGATGTACCGTTTGATTTTCAGACTTTTGTTGTTGGTTTAATCCACTTAAATCCTTGACATCTCTTGATCTCTTTTAATTGTGCTTATATTATTTAATTGGTTGGTTTGTAGATTGTTTCAGTAGTTATTTTCTTTAATTTGTCAAATGGGACACAAAGGTCTCTTGACATTTTCTATACTTTTCCCATAGTACCAGCTTCAATTAGCATTTAGAACCATTGTGTTACAAGTGGGATTTGTCCTACATCAGATTTGGATGGGGTTGAAGTGTGTATAAATGAGTGTGTATGCAGTAGTATCCAACAGCTTGAGTTTTTTGGTAAATGGATAAACGTTCACCCGTTACAGTTAGTTTCAGAACCAGATTCAGTCCTTAATCCGGTATCAAGTCGAGTGCCCGGCTCGGAGGGTGTCCGGATCTGATCCCGGGTAGGCAGGGTGATCCAATCGCAATGAGGGCGTTGTACGAGTTCAAGTGAAAGAGGATGTTACAAGTGCATTTGTCTCATACCAAATTTAAGTAAGAGTTGAAGTGTGTATAAATAAGTATTGCGTGATAGATTGACCCAGCAAGAATACAAAAGTCGTGTGCCACATCTCGGAAAATAATGTTTTCACTTCATTTTTTAAAAAATAATATTACCTCCGTCCCAAAAAAAAGTTTCGTGTTTCAAGAACCGTGACAGCTCAATTTGTGAGAGTCACGGCTCCCTAAAAGTGACACATTTTATGGGACGGAGAGAATAATAAAATAATATCTTTACCCAAAATATGAAAATTGAAAATTATTGGTGGGAGAATGGAAACAAACAAATACCCAACAAGGCCCCATGCACCGTGAGTACTAGACAAAAAACACCCTTCATTGTTTTGAGATTAGACGACCCTACATTTAAGTGCAAAATTAGGTAAACCAAAATTTCAAATATCTACTCCTAACTATGTTATGAGTTTGTTTAGTTTGTCATTCGAAAATATAATTTTTAATATACCAAAATTCAGTAATAGGAAAGCATGTTTATTTTTTTTTAGAACCATCTTTTATAATTCTTTCAAAACAATTTTATATTTCGTGAATTCTTTATGAGCGATAAATTAAGCACGCCTTATGATTTTAGATAGAAGAATAGCCATACATGTAGTCTATTGCGGGTTAGGAAGTACGAATACTTCTATGAAAGCGACGTATGATATACCGATACTCTTCAAATACTCATGTATACGCGTCTAATTTTTTCTTACACGTATTCATAATTTTAAAATATATATTTTTAATTTCTAATACGTATTCGATACTTTTTAAATACTTTCAATATTTCTCAAATACTTTATAACATATTTTTAACAATTTTTGATTATTAAAATATAATTTTTTTAACAATAATAACATAACTTAAACACGTATCGAATTAAAAATGTTTGTTTTATGTGTTTTGGATTGAAATCTTATCTTATATTAATAGTTATATTTAAATTCATAATATTAAAAAAATAATATAAAAATATATTACTACGTATTATTTATATTTTAAAATTTATTGTATCATATTATATCTGCACCCACATCCATGCTTCTCAGCGATTGCGAAACTGGAGGCACTTTCTCTGCTCTTGATGTCATTAAAATGACATCAGCAGCTGATGACAGATCTATTGTTGGAGCAGATTGGATGTTGGAACCTTCCCAGTGATCTGCTCATTCATTTTGTCACATAGTCGGTGGATTTTGTGGGCCATAAGTGCGTCTATTTATTTCTTTTGCATAACCAGGTGGCCAAGGGCATGCCAATTGTCGTGTTGTGCTACAAAAAATCAAATCAGTTTTTTTATTTTTATTTTTCGATAAGTTCAATTGTTGCCTTCTAATTATAATTGTGGTTAGATTAGTGAAAAAAAAAAAAAAAAAAAGAAGAAAAAACTATATCCGAATATTTTGATGTTAAAGGGACTCTAAAGATAATTTATTTGAAAATTTTTTTTTTTGCGTTTTTGTTGTTAGTTTGTAGTAAAATATTTATAAAAAAAATATTAAAATTTAATAAAAATAATTTATTTATCAATTTTAGACAAGTTATTTTACATTCTTCATTAGATAGACTCGACCTACATTTTTGCCAAATATTGAAACATAAAAATAAAAAATATATATTTTATCTGAAAAACAAAATATTTTTCAAAAAAAATATTTTACGAGCCTAAATGCTAAATGATTGTGTACGGAATTACTATTATGTGTAATTATTTTCTATTAGTAAGAGAAATAATGAATGTTTACCAGTCCAGATACAACATAATAGACACTTTTGAAATGTCCAATAATTTTTCGAAAGAATAAAGATAACAAAAAAGAGGAAAATAACTTACTTACTGCTGAAAAATAAAATAAAATAAAAATAGAAAAATTGGAGGAGAACTTGAATGGGAGCTGTTGATCAAGAGCCAGATGGTAACGAAAAGAAAGTAAAATAATAGTAATTTATTTATTTTAGAGTAAGAATTTTAAGAATTATAGTTATTAGCGGATTGAGAAGAGAAGAGGGTGCAAGATTTGAACACGAAAAGCAATTCAGTCACTCGGGCACCAGAGTACTTGCAAAAATAGTAGTAATTGAGAGGAGGAAATGTACAGAAATAAAAGAAGAAAGTGTAGAGAAGTGTGGAAGTGAAGTGCTCGAGTCTCCCGTTGTCTCATTTGCTTGTCAGTCTTTCTTCTTGGGCTTAGTTTGGGCCGGTCGTAACCTTGTTAGTATTCTTTTGATTTTGGGCATTGGTTTCTATTTTGTATAGGTATTTTTTTTTTTTTTCATTATACAATTTTTTTAAAAATTATGGAAATGGAGTATAGAGGTTAGTATTTTCCGATCCTTTCTACTTTGTGTCTGGAGTATAGAGGTTAGTATGTTTTTTTGTGGTGCACAAAAAAATGGTTGGATTGGTAAATTAAATCAACTGGACCGTTCGATTTGGTTTTATTTTTTCACGTTTCGGTTCAGTTTCACTAATATCATGGTTCGGTTCAATTTCAATATATATAAAAGTACTAAGATCAATTTAATTCGAAAATACTTTATAATGGTATCTTTAATCCGTGTGCACCCCTACTTGTGCCTACTATATAAAAAAATGTGCAACAAACCTCCAAACTATTTAGTATATGCATATAAATCTCTATAATTTAAAATTTTGTAGCAAATTGTTCTCAATTTTGACCATTTTTTTTTTTTTTTTTTTTTTTTTTAACTATGATAAAAATTCCAAAATGCACCTAATAAATTTTATCCATAGAAGTGTTTTTTTTTATTATTTTGCTTTAAGGACATTTTAAGTATTTCAATCTTCGAATTGAGAAAGTATTCTTATTTGCTTAATTTAAAAATATAGTTTTTTTATATATACAAGAAGGGGCTTTTGCACATTCTATATAAGATGTGTTGATATTGATTCAAGTTGCAAATTTTCTGCTTCTTAATGAAGGATGAAACAAAGCCCATTGAGATACACATTGAGTATTGTTATGTTGACATTCAAGTTGCATATAAAATTATGAAAATATCATTTTCTCTTCTAATAAGATAATGTGCACATAACACTCTTATATTATAAAATTAGTAGCATATATACCCCATTAGATATTTTTGGAAGAGTAAAAGGGTAAAACAGCTATTACAACACTAATTTATGTCAAATTTCTAATTGTGGGGTATTTTTACATAATGTGAAAAGATTAATGATATTTTTTACACACTTTTTTAAATATGAATAAAAAGACATCCCCAAGTATATTTTAGAGGTGTTTCTGCACTTATCCCAACACACTAATATAAAATAACAAGTTATCACCGGGGGAGGGTAGTACCTTAGTATATTATGTAAATTATCATCCAGAGTCCAACTTGATCCAAATACATGTCCCAAAATTAAAAGTTGATGGTTCAAGTCAAATAAGATAAGTGGATAATATTTTTTGGCAACTTAAAAAAATAAAGATAAAAATAAATAATAGTTTATTTGGAGTACACCTTTTTGCTAATAATAATAACAATAATAAAATAGCTAGATTGAGCCTAGGTCTAATTTACTTGTAAGTTTAATTTGTAATTTTTTTTAGAGAAAAAAAAAGGGAGGCGATATTGCACCCCACTTTTCTACAATTGCACAACACTTTTAA